CTATAAATTGAAACCTCCTAATGAATTGGCTTCGGTTCATCCGGTTTTCTATGTTTCTATGTTGAAAAAGTGTATTGGTAATCCCGAGTCCGTTCTTCCTATTGAGGGTCTTGGTGTCAAGGATAACCTTTCTTATGAGGAAGTCCCGGTTGAAATTCTTGATAGGCAAGTCATGGAGTTGAGGAATAAAGAGGTGGTTTCCGTAAAAGTGTTATGGAAAAATCAATTAGTTGACGGTGCTACATGGGAGGCCGAGGCCGATGTAAAATCCTATTATCCTCATCTTTTTGAGAATTAAGGTTAGACATTCTTTTTAAATATATAAGTATGACAAATATTTGTGTTTCTATATTTTTGGGTGAAGTGTTTTAAAAATGACATTTTTTTAAAACCTCAAAGTAAGTCTTACAATGAAGTCACTATAATATTGCTATTAAAAACTTAATTTTTTTATTTTTGCTTGGTTTGAGTTATGTTGTGCATTCTGATATGGTGAGTCTTTATGAAATGATAGGTAGCATGTTGTTAAGTTGAACTTTATGCTAATTGACTCATGTGATGTATGTTGAGCTCATAAATTTTACGAGAAGGAAATGCCTCATGATTAAGTGTTTTGAGCCTTAGGTGTTGTAATATGAGTTATGATATTTGATTTGTTGAAGTGATATGATTTATGTTAAATTGATATTGTTGATTGGTTGGGCTGCTAATCTTGGGTCTATTCCTTCCATTAAAAGAGTTTTAGTGTCATCGGGGACGGATGTTCCTAGGGGGGGTGGGATAATGTAACACATTGAAAATCCAAGACTCATGGAAAATCCTAACATACGTGTCATAAAGTCTTAGCATTATTTCTAAGACCATTTTTAATGATTATAGATCATTTAGAAGGATTAAGAACAAAAATGTCCGGGAAGTTGGTTCAAAGGGAGGTTAGTGTGCCTTAGCTTATTTTTTACTAACTTTTAGGAGTCAGAAATTTACGAAAATGGGTGGAAAGGTAGATAATGGGTGTTTGAGTTGTTTCATTATTGGAAGATCTGAGTACGACTGCCCAAGGATCAACCAAGTTCCCTTTAGGAGAACCCCTACAGTTTGATGCAGCACTAACTGGCAGTGTACATCGACGGTCCCTAAGTGGCTCGAAGGGGAGTTGAAAGCCACCGTCATCCTTCACTTAGAAAGATTTGTTAAGGCCCTGGTTTGCCTAGCTACTATTACACTCGACGGAAAGGGATGACGGGGCATCGAGGTCACCGTCATCCCATACTTAGAAAAATTGGAGGAATCCTCGCTGGAAAAGTCTCTGATAGAGACGATGGAAGTGCACCACAGGGAGGGTGGTGTCCGTCGAACCACCGACAGATGGTCGACCGGGTCTCTTCGGTGAGGGTCGAATTTCACTAATGGATTTTAATGATTTCATTTAAATTAATTAAATGGTTTAGGGGTTAGTTAGTGATTTAAGGGAAACTAATTAAGTTAATTAAGACCCTCTATAAATAACCTTAACCCTCATTAACCTAAAACCAACTCTCAAAATAAACTTTGTTCCTTCTCTCTAATTTCTCTCTCTACAAGAACCCACCATTGAAGGCTAGAAAGAACTAGGGTTTGGGGGATGGAAAAGGGTGGATTGTTCATAAAATTATTGAGAAACATTAAGGTATGGGTTCTATTCACCTTTGAGATCCCTTCCTCAAATGGTTCCTTCAAAATGGATTTCAAAAAGTAGACTTTTCTTATGGGTTTCATTTAGTTACGAAATTGAAGTTATGGATTGAGTTGTTAGTGAATTATTAGGTTTATATTGAGTAGATTTACATGTAATTCAACTTTTTTATGATAATTTTTGATGGTTTCGTCAAATTGTAGAAAATGATCCTCTATCCCTAACCCTAGGTAGTGATCTTGACTTATGTTGTATATTGATGATTCAATTGAGTAAGTTGTTGATTAGATGACTATCCTATGGTTCTATTATGATTAAGTTAAGAGGAATTATAGGCCTATCCTGCTAGTTCTTGGGATCTAATTTAGGTTATGAATTATAATGTGAAATTAGCCTATGTATCTTGTCTCAAGTTGTGATTTAAAGATTAATTGTGTTCTAGAGTTGAAATTGGCCTTGTTATTCTATTGATTATCATTGTGCTATGATGTTACTCCCCAAGTTGGGTTGAGTTATGGGTTTATGGTAAGACCTTGATGATAGACTATGAGGAAGACTTGGTAAGTCTTAGAATCTTTCTCTTTACTTCCAAATGTGATTAATTGTTGTTAAGCTATGATATTACATTGGAGTATGCCTTATATTAATATTGTAGGATGGTATGATGTTGATTTGAAATGCCTTGACTATGTTGTGAGGTTGATTAAGGTGTATGTGCTATAAGGATAGTGAAAACTATCAATATGCCTTAAAATGTTATGAAATGCTAAAGTGTTAACCTCACTTATATGAATTGTGATGAAAGGACATAAACTCATACAATTCTTATTGAGCTATTGATGATTATGATTATACAAGGGGTAGAACCTATGGCATATTTTAAGTTATGATTGATAATTAAAGGTCTAAAGACATTTCAAAAAGGGAATCTAGCTTAGCACCGAGTGAACTATATAGGGGAGCCTCCCATCCCACATAGGGAAGCTAGGAGCACTACATTACTCTTTAGATTGGAGATCATAATGCATGGCGCATAAAGAGGGTCCCAACTAAATCTCCTAGTTCTTCAACTATGTTTCCCCGATAGAAATACTAGCTAGTGGATCCACGTAGTTGCTATGTTTTACGTTTTGGTACTACCTTGGAAAGTAGTCCGCCTACTTTCGGTGTAGGGTTTTATGATACCGGATTCCACACTAGCTCATGTGGTCTATGTCAGTTAGGGAAAGATGTTCCCAAAAGTTAAAATGAATTAAAGGTCTTGAACTCTAACTTGGATAACCTATGGGGTCTAGCTTAGTATAGGTAGGGGTATGAGACTCTAGTTAGACATTGCACTAGTTAGTCTTGAGGGGAGTCTTAGAAGGATGTTCTTATCTGTTTATGTTATGATAATATATGATGTATATGTATGATGACCATGTCATATTGTTGATACTTTATGTTGACTAGTTCATTTGTGAATATGACTTGGTTTATAATGATAATATAAGATAAAATGTAAGACTAAATGCCATGATATGTAAAGTTTGACATTGGTCATGTATTCTTGTTAGTGATACTTGATTGAGTAATCTTATGGGGCTTTGCTTAGTAATTGCACTTGTTGACTTGATAAGGACTTGTGAGTAATTGTCTTGCTTATTATGATATATTTAACTCTTATTCATTCTTATGATATTATTCCTTGATGTTAGATTTGTAGTAAATCATGATTCTAAGTGTGTTGGGATAAGTGTAACTTGTTGAGATAGTAAGCATGTTTGTTTGATTAACATGACTTACTTGACTTTGCATTAATCCCCAAATGGGGTAGAGTGGCATGTTTTAACAAAAACTCCCTTTTTAGCATGTTTTGCTTAGTACATGTGGAGTGATAACCCGATTTTCTTACCTTGTCCAAAACATTTTAGGTCCGGTCGTTGAAGAGTTTGGAAGACAATATCATTGAAGTCTTGGATTCTTCCTTTCATCCGAGTAGGGTAGGTCCTCAACTTTCAAGGGCAATGCCATCTGCTAGCTTTGGAATTTTTTATGAGCTAATTGATTCTATCATTCTTTTCCTTTTTATTTGAATATTGTAATTTTGTATGACCTATACATGGTCTTGTTCAATTGATGTAAGGGCTAATGCCCATATTGTGACATTCGTTTAGATGGTATGAGATGAGATAATCATTGAGACTATTTCTAAGAAGATCAGGGTTCATAAATTTTTTGATTGTTCTAATTGGAATGCATCTAAACTTATAAATGTCCTACCTAAAGATCTTATCAACATCATTCTTCAAATAGATCACTTCAAGTGGACTTTTTTCTAGTAAAACAACTTGGCATACTGTTAGAAATTACAAAAATACTTCCTTCACTACTAGGATGATCTGGAAAAAACAACATATCTTCAAGGTCTATTTTTATGCTTAGAACACTCTATAATAAGCTTCCCACACATGATAACGTGCAAAATCTTAAAGTGAATCTCTCGTCCATTTGTTCTTGTTGTAGTAATCATAGTTAGCAGACTATAAACCATTTATTTTGTGGAGTCTTATAGCCAAACATATTTGGAACTATTTTTGTAATGGTTGTGGAATTTCCACTAATTTTGGGAGCATTAGACAAGTTATCATGAGTTGGTGGCTATCTAAATATAAGAACCACCTGCATTAATAAGTCTTCAATGCATTACTACAATTATTTTTTGGGAGTTGTGGAAGTGTAGATGTTCTGCTATATATGAACGCCAAGATGACTAGAAGGTAAATTATTCTTCAAAGTTGTAAATATGTGTATAATATTTTCCACTAACTAGTTGAAGTTGTCCTTCCCTACTTCTTGGAATGAAACCTGTCACTACACTTAGAATTTAATCTAGCATACTAGACAAGTTATTTATTGGAATAAGCCTTTGAATAGTTTTTTAATACTTAATGTTGATGGATGCACTAAGAGGGAACACGAGAAGCTCAGGTGGTGGCGGTTTTTTGAGGGATCCAAAGGGGCTATCATTCTTGCCTTTTTTTTGAATGGTTTCTTAATACTTAATGTTGATGGATGCGCTAGAGGGAACACGAGACACTCAAGTGGTGGTGGTGTTTTGAGGGATCACGAAAGGACTATCAATCTTGCCTTGTTTTTTTACATAATTTTATGGTCATTCCAGTAAAAAATGTTGTCACGCCCCGAAACTATCGCTAGAGTGGGACACATGACCTAGAATTACGAGTGACCCCAGGCTAACTCTGCTGGCATATCATAAACACACTAAAGATAAGCTAAATCAATAAATATTTTGTGGAAGAAAATCATGATAGAATCTGAAATGATAGGGAACACCCATATACTAAATCTGAATATAGGAAAACTGAGAGTTTAACAACAACTGAAAAGTAAAACTCAAATACTAAAGTTGAATACAACAATTTGTGAAATAAGCCTCTAAACTGACTAGAAGTGATCGGACATACCCCAGCTAAATCCACCAAAACTGATAGCAAAGAAACATAATCATGTCACTCATCCTCGAAGAATGAGGACTCACCACCGATGTTGCTGAACTGAAGATCGAGAACTGATCTATGCGTGATGTGGAAGATGAGAACCTGAACCTACATAACAAGAAGATGTAGCGCATAGTATGCGTTAGTCTTTGAAAGTTACTAAGCATGTAGGGTAAAATAAAGTTGAACAATGACGTAACTGAACCAAAGCATAATATCTGAGCAATAACATGATATACACATGATACTAACTAAAACTAATGAACATGAAATAACTGAATGCAATAACAAAGTTTATAAAATGCTGAAACTGAGATCTGAACTACAATTAATATCATGGTCAATGCACTAGAATCTGACAGTAAGAGAGCTACTAGAATGTGGAGTCTGATGTATACGCCCCATCGAAAGGTCCCAATATACCTTGCCAAAGGTATAGAGGCATGAATGACATGATCACTAAAATGTAATACCCAACAGAGGGAACTTAACCTAGGGGACACGTGATTCTGAGACTTGAGGGTGATTGACCCAAGTCCACTCGGTATTAAACTACTCCCATTTGATTATGTAATTAACAACTTATGAATGAACTTCTGGAATACTGGATAACTCAAAATAGCGGCATGCAACTGAGAATGGAACATTCATATACTGATAATGAAACATTTATAAACGAAAACATGTATGTATATATCTGAAATAACTAACCTAGCATGTGTAATTCATGAACTAAAAGAAATACATAGCTAGAGTTCTGAATTCATGAAAGAATCTAAACAAAACAATACTAAATTCATGAGAATCTAATTTGGATCATTGTAAAAACAAAACCCCAATAATTTCTAACATTCAGGAAACCCTAGATCTAGACAATATTAAGGGAATCAAGAATATGACTGAATTCTAGATACTTAATAGGCAAAAGGAATCCACTAGCAAAATCCCACATACCCGGTGAAAAAATTCCATAAAGAAAATTTTCAATTTCGGGGCTGAAACTAATGAAAACCCGATGCGTTTTGGAACAAGAGCTGGTCGACTTCTTTCTCCTTCTGCATTATAATTTTTTTATGTTTTTGGTGAATTAATTTTGTTAGGGTAGATTCTAATGTAGTAACTAGGTAAAAACTATCCAAAACTACATAGTTTAAGGTTTAAGCGACACATTTTAGGGGTCCAACACATAAGGAAAAGACCGAACGACCCCTGAATTAGCTATTGTCAAGGCCAAACAATGGACTAGACTCATGAACCATGGATCGACCAACGGTTAGTATTGGTCAACTGTTGATTAGCAACTGGACTGGAATTTGGGGCCTCAACCCATGTACTAGGACAACAGTCCATTGCCTAGCCTATGTCCTGTAGGTATAGACATGGGTCGACACCTGGACAAAATTTTGCAGGGTCAGAGGGAAGTTTCATAGGTCATGAACCATGGACTAGCAAAGATTGATGGGGCCCATTGATGCCACCTAAAACTCCTGAAACTTGCATTTTGGTAGTTTTAGCATATGAGGTGTTACATTATTTCCCCTTTGTAAACATTCTTCTTCAAATGTAGACTAAACTAGCTGAAATGGAGGGAGAGAGCTGCAACCCCTACAACTAAACTCTGGAAAATTATTTCTGACTGAATTATGCTGAAAATGCAAGTTTAAATTGAAGGAGCATGATGCTAAGACTGGAATTGTGCATGAATGACTGAAATAATGAAACGGAACTATTATCTCAAACTGGAATGAAATCAGAAGAAAAGAGTTGAGGATACTTGACTTTCATGTATCTCCCTTTACGAGTAACTCCACAAATCCTTAACTAAAGAAACTTCTTTGTTTCTCAACCTTCAAACAATTTCAACGGGTACCTCTTCATAAGTGAGACTACAATTTACAACCACACTTTCTAAAGGTACAATAGATGTTTGATCGCCCACACACTTTTTCAACAACAAAATGTGAAAAACCAAATGCGGTGCTGCTAATTCTGTTAGAAACTCTAACTCATAAGACACTTTACCAAACCTTTTCAAGATCTTGTAAGGGAATACATATTTATAACTAAGCTTCATTTTTGTTTCCAAATATCATCACCCTCTTCATAGGTCACTACAACAAAAATAACTTTTAGCAGCAATAACTAGGCACATTAATAATGAGTGTTAAAATATTAACTGGTATTATTTAAGTTTTATTAGATCCAACGTCGCTAAATACTTTTGGCACATATACAATTGACGCTAAAAATACATATGTAGCAGAAATTGCTAATTAATTGCTGCTAAAGCTCATTTTTGATATAGTGGTGACATTTTCACAAAAAAACAATCATCAACTTGGAACTCCAATTCCCTCCTCATTACATTTGCATAAGTCTTATGGCTACTCTAGGTTGTTTTAAGTTGATCTCTAATGAGTTGCACTTTCTTCATAGCATCATGAATGGAATATGGCCCTATCGAGATTGATTTACCTAATTTAAAACAACCTATTAAGATATTTACGTCTACGCCTATACAATGCCTCAAAAGGAGCCATCTGAATGCTTGAATGGTAACTATATTGTAGGTGAACTCAATAAGAGGAAGGTTATCATTCCAACTACCCTTGAAATCAACCATACAAGCTCTCAACATGTCTTCTAAGGTCTGAATGGTACGCTCTACCTGTCTATACATCTATGGATAAAATCATGTGCTAATATTAACTTGAGTAGCAAGACCTTTCTGAACTGACTTTCAAAAATAAGAGGTAAATTGAGGACCTCTATCAGAGATGATAGACAAATGAACCCCATGCAACCTGACTATCGCATTATTGTAAAGGTTAGCATAGTTCCTGCCAAGTCGGTAGTTTTAAGCGGCCAAGAAGGGCATACTTAGTGGCTCTATCAACTATTACCTAAATGGAGTCATGTTGTCTTGGAGTACGAGGTAATCTTGTAATGAAGTCCATTTTGATCACTTAGGAACACATAATCGACCCTCATAGCGAAGCACACCGTCTCAACATTGGGAGAAAACCCCAACTCTCTATTGATGGAATGCACTTTTTAGTTGAAGAAAAATGGGATCACTATCTTGATTTTCCTTAACCTCCGCTACGAATGAAGATTCTAACCCATTCTGAACTGTAACACCACCATATGATATGCTCATAAGATGAACTCCTAAGCGAGCAATCCTGTGAACCTCTTTTGCTAGTTCCTTTCTTTCTTCCCTCACATGTGCTACACTACCCATTGATAGTATACTAAGAGCATTTTTTACTATATTGTTCTTACCAGAATAGTAATTCACACTCATATCATAATACTTGAGGAATTAAAGTCATCTCATATGGCAAATATATAACTCTTTCTGGGTGAACACATATTGAAGGTTCTTATGATTTAGAACATATCTAGATGAACACCATACAATTAATATCTCCAAATCATAAGTTGAAACACTACTATTGTGAGCTCGAGGTCATGAGTTGGATAGTTTTTATCATGCACCTTAAGCTTTCAAGAAGCATAGGTTATAGCCTTAACTCACAACATCAACACACAACCTAAGCCGACTCTAGATACATCAAAAGAGATTACATAACCCCCTGAACGCTCTAGTAGAGTAAAAAAATAGGAGTTGTAGTCAACCTAGTTTTCAGTTCTTAGAAGCCTTTGTCACAATCAACTGACCATTGAAACTTAACTTTTTTGTACGTCAACTTAGTCAATAGAGCCAAACCCAAGAAACTTCTGATATCTGTAAGAGAGGTAGGTCTGGTCCATTGTTTCATACTTTTATTTTTTGAAGAATCCACTTGAATCCCTTCGCTAGACATAATATGATCAAGGAAAGAAATTGCAACAAAAACTCATATTTTCTAAACTTAGTGAATAACTGGAATTTTTTGAGAGTTTACAGGACAAACCCTAAATGATTCACATATTCTTCCTCATTCCTAGAGAAAATGAGGACATTATCAATAAAGACAATAACGAAAAAGTCCAAATACTACTTGAAAACTCTGATAAACAAATCTATGAAAGCTGCAACAACATTGGTTAGTCCAAATGACATAATTTCAAATTTATAGTGACCATACCGAGCTCTGGAGGCTCTTTTTGGGATGTCACTATGTCTTACTCTAAGATGATGATAACTAGACTGAGGTCTATATTTGAAAAATGACTAGCACCCCGAAGTTGGTCAAACAAGTCATCAATCCTAGGGATAGGTTACTTATTTGTGATTTTGACTTTATTCAACTACATATAATCAATGCATATTATGAGAGTACCATCTTTCTTTTTCACAAACAATAGTGGTGCACCCTAATGGGAAAATCTATGTTTGATGACGATCTTATCTAGATGGTCTTTCAATTGATCTTTCAATTTCTTAAGCTCAACTGGAGTCATTCTATAAGGAGGAATAAAAATAGGTTGTGTATGTTGAAGGAGATCAATTCCAAAGTGGATTTCCCTTTCAAGAGAAACTCTGAGAAGATTTACGAGAAACACTTCTAGGAACTCATTATATATAAGAACTGACTCTAGAGTTGGGGTCTCAGAATTTGAATCCTTAACTCGAACTAGATGATAGAGATACTCCTTAGAGATCATCTCTCTGGCATTAAGGTAAGAAATGACTCGACCCATAGGCGCTAAGCTACTACCCTTCCATTCTATGATTGGTTTGTCTAGAAACTGAAAAAACAAACAATCCTAGTTCTACAATCAACTAAGGCATAACAAAAATGTAGCAATCCATGCATAGAATGATATTGAAGTCTACCATTTCTAACTCTACAAGATCTGCTGAAATTACTTTTTGGGAGACTGTGATAGGGAAACTTTTGTATACCGGTCTAGCTATTACTAAGTCACCGACTAAAGTAGATATTAAGAAAGGTTCTAAGAGAGTTTCTGGAGGAACACTAAAGTTGAATTCTATATAAGGAGTTACGAAGGAAAGAGTAGCCCCTGTATCTAACAATGCATAAATATCTAAGTCAAAAACTTGTAACATACACGTGAATACATCCGAAAAATCATCCTGATCCTAGCGAGCTTGAAGAGCATACAACATGGTTTGATGTTGTCTACCACCTATACCAGATGAGTTACCCTGCTGAGTCGGGCGACCTACTAGTGCTGCTGAAGTTGTAGACTAAGATCTACTATTATTACCCCCTTGACCCTGTTTAGTAAAAGAAAAATCTCTAAATTTGTGACCAGACTGAGCAAAGCATCCCTCCTTTCCTACAAGGCACTCGCCCGGATGGGTTTTCCACACATTGGACATGTTTAGTAGGTTTGGTGCCCTAAATACTACCTTGAGTCTTAGATCCTGATGCCTTACCTTTCTGATCATTTCAGAAATTGGAGGATGGAACACTAAATGATGAAGGTGTTGGAGTTGAAGGCTTTAGCTAAAACTGCGAGTGATTTCCACCACCCAAATTTTGCTAAGAATAATTATAGTTGCATGACCTACCTTTCTTATTCTCCTTAGCATGTTCTTAATACTTATCACCCTCAACCTATTGAGAATGATTCATGATCCTAGAGATATTCATTTCTTCTAGAAACATAGCATTCCTACACATTGTATTCACAAAGTCGGATACCCAATAAAGAAACTTGTTTATTTGAGCCCTGGAATCGGCAACTATGTGAGAAGCATAGCTAGAGAGTTGGATGAACTTGAGTCCATACTCTTGGACTAACATGGAACCTGCCTCAAATTCATGAACTCATAAGTGCCTCCCTACACTCTCTTGGGAAGAACCTGCCCAAAAAGGGTCTCATTAAAGCATCTCTAAGTTATATGAGCTGCATTTGTACTCCTATTTTGTTTCAACTAAGTATACCAATGTGAGATACATCGTTCAACTGATAGGATAACAACTTTATCTTATTATTACCTATCCCCTGCATAACTTCAAAGATCTTCTTGACCTTATATATGAAGTTTTAGGGATCCTCACCAATCTGCGATACTAAGAACTCAATCGGATTCAATTTAACAAAGTCATGAACCGTGGTTGCAATGATCAACCACTAGCATTTTGTGGGAATAGATACTGCTCGTCACCAAAAATTGAATTACATTCCTAAACGTTGCATTTGAAACCTCCTGATCAGGGACTGGAGGAGCTGCATTAGTATTGTGTGCATTTGCCTTCCTACCATAATCTCTATGAGAAGGAATGATTTGAAAATCGTAATGTCGAGATAGAATGATAAATTAGATCATACCTTACACACGATAAGAGTACCAAAAAGACTAAAGTTTTCCTTAAACACTCTGTAGCCTCCCTCTTATTCTATGTGGTGTACTTCACACCCATGAAAAGAACTCTACTTAATGTGACTTTTCATACATCCTAGGACACTTCAACCTAATGCTTGGACACAAAATTTGTCATGCCTTGAAACTAATCCAAGGGTTTAGACACACAACTGAGGATCACGGTTGACCCCAAGATAACCTTGCTGGCATATACTAAGCACACTAAAGATAAACTAAATCAATAAATACTGTATGGAAGCAAATCATCAGATAATCTAAAATGATTGGGAATACCCATATACTAAATCTGAATATATGAAAACTAAGAGTTTAACAACAATTAAAAAGTTAAACTCAAATACTAAAGGTGAACCTAACTATGTCTGAAATAAGCCTCTAAAATTACTAGAAGGGTTGGGACATGCCCCAACTAGATCTAGAAAAAACGAAACTAAAATTGAAAGTAAAGAAAGATAATCATGTCACTCGTCCTCGAAGTATGAGGACTCACCACCGATGCTTTTGAATTGAATATTTAGAATCGATATATGTGTGATCTAGAAGCTAAGAACCTGAACATACATCATAAGAAGATGTAGCGCATCTGTATAAAATAAAGCTAAACAATAACATAACTGAACCAAAATATAACATGAGATAAGCATGATACTAACTAAGACTACTGAACCTGAGATAACTAAATGCAATGACCAAGTTTATAACATGTTGAAATTGAGATCTTTATTACAACTGATAAAATGGTCAATGCACTAGAATCTGACCGTAAGATAGCGACTAATAACCGACATAAAACCACATGAGATAAATGTGGAGCCGATGTATACGCCTCATTGAGAGGGACAAATATACCATGCCTGGTGTATAGAAGCATGACTATTGTGATCACTAAAATGTAATGCCCAACAGAGGGGAATTAACCCACGAGTTATGTAGTTCTGGGATGTGAGGGTAACTCACCCTAGTGTACTTGGCATTAAGTTACTCCCATTTGATTATGTAATTTAAAATTTATGAATGAATTTTTGTAATACTGGATAGCTCAAAATACTGGCATGCAAGTGAGAATGCAACATTAACATACTGATAATGAAACATTCAAAAACTGAGACATATATGTATATGTTTGAAATAACTAACCTAGAATGTGTAATTCATGAACTAAAAAATTTATATAGCTATGGTTATGAATTCATAAAACAATCTACACAAAACGATACTAAAACCATGACAATATGATTTCAATCATCCCAATAGCTAAAACCTAACGATTTCTAACATTCAAGAAACCCTAGGTCTAGCTAATATTAGGTGAACAAGAATTTTACTAAATTTCAGGGACAAAATGGGTAAAAGGAACCCGTTAGTGAAACCCAAATACCTGGTGACAAAATTCCACAAAGTAATGTTTCAATTTTTAGGCTCGAATTGATGAAAACCCGTTGCGTTTAGAACTAGGGTTAGTCGACTTCTTTCTCCTTTTGTGTTCTAGTTTTTGTAAGTTTTTGGTGAATGATTCTCTTATGATAGATTCTAATTTAGTTACTAGGCTAAAACACGACCAAGAGAACGTAATTTAGGGGTCCAACGCATAAGGAAAAGACTAAAGGACCCCTGACTTAATTGTTGTCGGGGCCATCCGACGGACCAGATCCATGGACCGTGGATCGACCAACAGCTTGTGGCCTCGATCCATGGATCAAGACCACGGTCCGTGGACTAAACTGCGGCCCATATGTTCGTCCGTTGGTCGACACCTGGCCAAAATTTCAAAGGGTCAGGGGGAAGGGTCACAGGTCTTGAACCACGAACCAGCAAAATGGATTACAGGTCCTCCTATGGTCCGTGGGTGATGCCCGTTGGTGCCACCTGAAACCCTAAAGCCTGTACTTTTATAGTTTTAGCATACGGAATGTTACAACAGTGGTGAAGCTAGAGCAATTTTGCAAGGCTTCAAAATTGTGCATTTATAAATGAACATTGTTATGGAATAGACTCTCAAGTAAGGTGGATGTGATTAACAACAAGATGAGGGCTCCATGACATGTAAATCATATTAGGGATCAAATCACTTACTTTTCGTCATTAAAAACTTTATTTTTGTTCACACTTTTAGAGAGGAGAACACCTTGGTTGATCACTTAACTAACATTGGATAAGTCATAAAAAGTCAAGTTATCTACTCTGAATTTGGCTCACTTCATAGTAAAGTCAAAGCAACGGTGATGTCCGATCAACATGGCTTCCCGCACCTATGAACAAGACAAAGAAAATTTATTTTGTGATTAATGATGTTAACAATTCTCACATATAGAGTTGGTATAACTCTTTCTACTTTATGCAATATTTCACTCATTTATACCCACCCCAACTTCACACTAGGTAGAATTTTTATCCTTTCAAGTGTTATAGTGTTTGTAACCATAGGTACATAAGAATGACTTGTCTCATTCTTGATTTGGCTCTAGAGGAAAAGTTTTATATCCTCCTACACATACTTGATATATATATATATATATATATATATATATATATATATTTAACAAGAAGGTTGGGGTAGTATAAGCCCCCACCATCGGTGGACTTTTGAAAGAAAAAGAACTTCTTCACCTCACTCCCTCAATCCCACCCCATGTTCAAGTTGAGCCCCTCCTCCATTTTCATTTATTTTGTTTTCTTCTTCAGCCAACTTTCTTTCTGCTGCAATTTTTTTTTTTTAAAAAAAGTGATACTATATTCTACTGTTTTTTGAGCTATTAATAACAATACTAATTATTTATCTTTTTGAGAAGATTCAAAATTTGGAAGGCATTATCAATTATTTTATTTCCCTTTTAGATAACTTCAATATTAGAAATGATAATTTTTAAAGAATCGTGAATTTCGTAAAAATTAAAAGAGTGGATAAAAATCTTAATGGTGCCTCCTAGGCATCTTGAAATCCAATGAGTTTATAAAATTGTTTCAAATATATTTAGAAAAAATCTTAGATACACATTTAAAATATAAAAGAGTTAAAACTAATAGTAATAAAAGGAGAGTGATATTCTGGAAAGAAATAGTGGCACTAAAAGTGAAGATTTTCAATGGAGAAGACAATGAATATTTGAAGAAGAAACAAAATGAAAACATAATAAGGAAAAAGATTTAAAATAATAAGAAAATAATTTTTAGAATAAAATACCAATAAAGGTATAATAATATTTATTATTTTAGGTTACTCACGCTCTTTAAGAGAGCGCATACACTCTCTTCTTGTTCAATTGGTTAATCATATAAATATGTCTAATTTTTTTTAAAATCACAATCACACATATTTAAAATTACATCTTTGTTTTCATGGCATATGCTTGTATCTTATTCATCCAAACGCAAGAGAACGTTTTCATAGTTTTCAGCTAAACAACATTAAAATACCAATTACAAAATAAAAAATAAGTCATATATCATAGAAGTCAAAAGGTCCTTCAATCGTAAAACCAAAATTACCGCAAAACTAGCTTCTAAGCTATATTCAATACCATAGTAATATTATTTATTAGAAAAATAAACTAAACACAATTCTTGTCAAGTTTCTAACTCTATTAATAGAACTTGTTTGTTGCAATCTAATGCAAATGAGCATAATAGTATTGTTGCAATTCATGTGAAGCAGAATACACATAAGGAACCCAAATGATGAGGAAACTATTCACAATAAACAACAGAAAAGCAATTTTAACAATTTCTTGCACAATGACATAAATATGTATGCACACAATCTTAATGTGCAAAAGTTATGAATGACTTAAAGAAATGCACCTTCTCATCCCCAAATAAAATAGAAATGTCCTCCCAAATTTAAACCCTCCCAGTGACCACAATTAACCTCCCCAAACCACCAAAAAGAACTCCCAAAAAGAGGAAATACAAGCTCGTGCATCCTTTACTGTTATTCAATCTTTGGTAGAAAAATTTTCTTATAGCAAATGAAAAACTACAAGCAATTACTAGGTAGTTGTGGGAGGGGAAAAAAGCGAGATACCTTTAAGCAGAGAGATTAAAGTTATAGGTAGTAGTCACAAACAATGAAAGCTAGTTGTAATAAGAAAACAAACTTAAGCAAATAAGTGTGCTATTTACTTTCACAAAAGCAAATAAAAGTATACCACTGTAATGCTTGAACCTCATTCCAATTTTTCAGAAAATCTTATATTGAAAAAAAACCTATTTTCAGAATACCCAAACTACTAAAATCACTATTTCCAGAACACCTCAAACATACTTCGAGCTAAAGGAAATGGAGAGAGTTGAAAGTATGTTCAACCTTATTTTCGGAATTATGATAGTGATAAAACCTCTACTTTCAAAACATCTCAATATTACTTCAAACTAAATGAAATGAAAAGAGTTGAGAGCTAAAAAATCCAATTTTTCACAAACCCAGAGATAGAGAGATGATAGTTTAATAGCTCACTTTTTAGATCAAAATGGAAGATCCAAGGAGATGAGAGTTAGAGAGCTTACTTTGAGATGAAAATTAATGAAGATGAGAGTTTCAACCATCGGAGAGCTTACAACGTCTTTACTTTGAGAGATGAGATTTTCCGGTGAAAATGGAAAGTGTGAGGTGAAAATGAAGAGTGAAGTGATTTAGCTTAGAAAAAAACATAACTTTGCAACAGACTTAGTGACAAATTTTAATATCTGTTGCTAGAAAAAATAATATATTTAATTATAGCGATGGATTTTTTTTCACTATATAAATTAAATTTTATAAATATATTCTTAAGTTTAGTTATATTTTTTGTCCCTATTTTCGTCGTGAAATATTAATTAATTTGGTCACTCACTTGGTTGCCAAATTGGTAGCAAAAACTAGGGTGCCAAAATTTCGTGCTCAATTCTAGTGACCAAAACAAATATTTCATCGTCAATTTATCGCTATATCATAACTCAAAAAATTATTTGCAATTCTTTCAACAAAATGTCTATTCCGTTGAGAATTCGTTTGTAACAACCTGTTCAGTCGTTTTGAACAGCAGATTTTATTTCTGGAAAAAAACAGGCTGAGGCGACGGACCCCACGACGGACCGTCATGGGCACGACGGCCCGTCGCAGGGTCTCGTTTCAAAACATTTAGAAAATCTGAAATTGGGTACTGAAAATCGACTCTCTGAACTTCGTAACGAAATGGCAGGACGGACCGTCACAGAGTCTTCAGTGGAAATCCAGTCTCTGAACCTTGCGACGACCTACAGGATGGACCGTCGCAGGCACGACGGGCCGTCACAGGTTGCGTAATCCCAGTCTGGGTCGGATTTCTTTACACGTTTTAAGGGATGTTTTGTACTATTCCTACTTTAATTATAAAGTTAGAGGGTTAAGGTTAATAAGTCCAATTACTTGGGGGTTAAAAGAGGTAACCTTAAGTTAATTAGGGGGTTATTATTGTCATCTTTTATTCTTAATTATATACTAATTAGGGTAAAAGAAAGAGGGTTGGAATAAGAAAATTTGAAAGAACAAGAGAAAGAGAGAGAAAGTCGAACGAGAAAGAGGATCGAACGAGAGGAAAAAACACAAAGCTTGGGAAATCACTTGCTTGATCACGAATCTTCGGTGGAGGTAGGTTATGGTTTCTCATACGATATTCGTAGTAAACTCATAATAGCGAATGATATGTATTGATAATATTGTAAACCCTGCTATGTGCTTAATTGTATGCTTGCATGAATGTAATTATATAATTGTGATTATATAAGCATGATGAAGTTATTGAATCCCAAATCTTGCAAAACCCTAATCTCTCTGTTAATAATGAGGCCTTGGTATAATAGAAGGCGTGATGAACTAAAATAAAGAGATTGATGATGTCATGGTAAGAAAGAAGGCTTGATGAATTGATAGAAGGAGATTAGGGGATCGGGTGTCACGAGCCAACACGTAGATTTAGGGGATCGGGTGTCACGAACTGACACGTAGATTTAGGGGATCGGGTGTCACGAACCGACACGTAGATTTAGGGGATCAAATGTCACGAACCGACACGTAGATTTAGGGGATAGGGTGTCACGTTCTGACACATAGTAGTAGGGGATCGGAGTGTCACGTACCGACACAAGGGGATTAATGAATATGAGGGAGCGGAGTGTCACGTGCCTACGCAAGAGAAATAAAGATAATGAATCTTGAAAGATGTTAATATACTCAATCTAATGAACATAATTCCCAAATGAGTATGGTATTGAGGCTTGAGTCCTCATGTACGCACTTGACGGTAATTGTTAATGATATAGTACTTGCTGTTGCTACATGTTGAGTATCATAGTTGATTTTATGATACTACTTGGTATATATTGATTTCTATTTTGAGTTGGCCGATGATATCTACTCAGTACCCGTGTTTTGTACTGACCCCTACTTTTATGTTTTCTTCTTGCTTATTTGTGGAGTGCAGCAAACGTGCCGTCATCTTCGACTCAACAGTAATTCTAGCCAGTCTTCATTACTCCGGATATCAGGGTGAGCTAATGCTTCTAGCTTGGACTGGATATTCCTCTTCATGTCTTGATGCCTTGAAGTTCCGGCATGGACTAGCTTTTATGTATTTTTAGCTTCTTAAAAACTCTTAGATTTAGAAATTTGATCTTAGATGTTCTTGTGATGATGACTTCCAGATTTTGGGAAATAATAGTTATTGAATTGGTTTTTATTAATGAGTTTAAGTCTTCCTTATTATTTTATGATGATATTACATTGAAATGTTAAGGTTTAGATTGGTTGGTTCGCTCACATAGGAGGGTAAGTGTGGGTGCAAGTCGCGGCTCGGTTTTGGTTCATGACAAACTTGGTATCAAAGCATTAGGTTCGTTGGTCTCATCACACAAGAACAAGTCTAGTAGAGTCTTAAGGAACGGTAGGGGGACGCCTTTACTTTTCTTTAAGAGGCTATAAGACTTTAGGAAAATTCCATTCTTTCTTTCTTTCTTTCTTTCATGCTATTACTTGGATCCAATTGGTATCTAGGTGATACAAATTGGTATCTGACCATCTTCACTCTATTTCGCAGATGGTTAGAACTAGAGCAACAACTGCGCCAACACCAGCACCGGCGGGACAGGGTGTGTCTGAACCAGCCACTGGGGCTGTAGCTAGAGGAAGAGTAGCGGAAAGAGGCCGTGGAAGAGGTCGTGGGAGGACGTCCTCTAGAGGAAAAGGACAAGCACCTAGCCCATCTGATGCTAGGGCGGTGACTCCTCCACCGACTGTGG